GATGATGATGATGATGATGATGATGATGATGATGATGATGATGATGATGATGAAGATGATCTTCTACCTGCGAGACCCGCTTTAGGAATCCACACATTGTCATCAAAGATCGTGTATAACAAGACAGTTAACTCCTCTCTTTGAGCTAATCAAAGATCGTGTATAACAAGATAATTCACTCCTCTCTTTGAGCCAATCAAATATCGTGTATAACAAGATAGTTCACTCCTCTCTTTGAGCCATTTCAAAATGTCCTAAAATTTCGGTGGCGTACACTTTGAAAAAGCGCGGACATTGCGAACAGAGTTACCCTACTCGTGGGAAAAACAATAAAAGGGAAACTAACAAACAGCTATTCCTATTCTTCTTCTGGAGAAACAAAAGAGAGCTTCAAAACAAAGACTGTAGCGCCATCTGAACCAATGCGCGGACTTCCGCGGACACTTTTTAAGCTGAGTGAACTATCTTGTTATACACGATCTTTGGTGTCGTACAGTTTGACCTGATTTTGTGGGGATTCCATGGGCAACCGAATTTCGTTCGTCCATTCACCGGCGATGCACATCGTCCTATATAAGAGACAGGTCCACGTATCATGATTTTGGCGCGAAATTTTTTTTCACCAATCGAGAGCACATATCATTGGCTTCATTTCTGTATAGGTTTCATTGAATTCCCCGCCTTAAAATTGATATTAAAAGCAAATAACTGTTTCTCTGATCATAGCTGTTTGCTTCCAAATGAGCTCATCTTGAGATGTGCGGAATGGATTTCAATATTGTAACAACTTGAATGACGCAGCAAGAATTACTACGGAACTGACAGTAAAGCCAAGAATTCCTAAATCACGTATCACGTGATACGCTTTTGGGGCTTGATCGTTTCCGGTGTGTTGATCATTCATACATACCTACTTTAATCAGTTTTTTTGCTCCTCCTGAAAAATTCGCTAAAACCTAGATACGTGGAACTGGCTCTTATAGAACGACAGTAGAGTCTAGGTGCAAAGCGAATCTTCTCAGCGTGAGTTCTAAACACAATAGAGACTGAGACTGAGACGCCGCTAGCCACTTCTCAGCTACGTGTGAACAAGACGAGGCTACAGAAGAATAATTTGTAGACGGGTTTTTTTTGTCTTTTTATGTGTGTCAGATATTATCTATCAGGACAGAAGAAAAAGTTAGGCTAGGATGTGTCTTTTTCGCTGACTTTGATATCTATTTTATCGTTAAGTTGTGTAGTGATGGTTCATCGCACACAGTTATGTTTTAAAAGATGCACTTTGGGGTGGTGGGTGGTGGGCTCTCTACCTCTATCTCTCTCTGTCATCTCTCTCTCTCTCTCTCTTTCTTTCTCTATCTATCTATCTATCTATCTATCTATCTATCTATCTATCTATCTATCTATCT